GATTTTTTCTGACTGGATCGGCCCACATAATCGACTCGAGAGAAAAATGTTGTTTTTTTCACTTTTCGTTTGGTTATTATTTTTCCTGTCGTCTGAGAGTATGGATTATTTTTATGAGAATATGTATTTGTTATCTACACATTTTAGAACAGATGAATATTCGGCAAAAAATCATTCAGTGTATTTATTCAAAAAAGATCAGAACTATACGGTGACGCATCAGCTGTTCGGTGACGCTTCCTTAGATTTTATGAAGTGCTCTAAGCTTACTGTTCGAACAAGAGGTAAAGAAGCGTCAGATCTACATGTACATTATCACTGGTAAGTATCAAGCAAAGATGGCGGACAGGAAGTATGAAGCAAGATGATGTGACATCCCTTGTTTTAAAACATCAATAACGTAGCAACAAGAGAGTTTTGGATTTCATGATCTTTACCGTATCATACATTTCCAGTAACCTTCCATTAAGCGGTGGAAGATATCGTTGAACTGTAGCGCCCATGCGCTATATATGAACAAATGATCATACTCCAGAGTTTCGAATTCCATTTCATACAATCTTAGTCTCATTTAGTTCATCAAAGCATAGCGTCACCGTACAGCTGGTGCGTCACCGTACAAATCTGATCTTTTTTAAATATACATAATGCATGGTTGTTTGCTGAATCTTCGCCCGTTCTAAAATGTGTAATCAACAAATACATATTTTCATAAAAATAATCCATACTCTCAGACGGCAGGGAAAATAATAACCAAACGAAATGTGAAAAGACAACCTTTTTTCACTTGGGTCGATTATGTGGGCCGATTCACTAAGAAAAAATCCGAACAGTGCTCGGAAAACGTTTATCATAATCAGTAAGTTAAAACCATTTTTTATTTCACATGAAATCGTATTAGTTTTCATCAAATTAATTTTTTTTAAACCCTTAGTCATAGTTTTTGCTTCAAAGCAGTTAATTTGCGTTACCGTACAGAAAACTGTACTCCGCTATTTTTTGACGCTGTACGGTGACGCCTGCTTACGCGATGGTAAGGCGTGATGTATGAGTATTGGAAGGTTTATTGGAAGGAAATCCAATGTTTTTGCTACCATCTTTTATGCAATCAATATAGTATCGCGCTTTTGAATACATGAATGAATTATCACTTGGCCTCAGAAAGTGCTACCATCTAATATCCCTGATATGATTTGTTTCACATCAACAATCTAAAATCAATCAAACAAAAATATATGTCTGTCTGAGGAAATATTATGTTCCAAGTGAAGAAATGTAACTTTCTTCTTTTGGGGTCACAGAAGATTTGTATGTAATACACTCTGACACTGAGTCTCACTGTTTCCAGTTTTGGCTTGGCGTTCGTTCATTCATTCTGTCGATCGTAAATTATTACGTCTTTAGTTATCCAATCTATCCTTTGAATCCTACAAAAACTATTTCCAAAAACCAATTTTTCTACTTTTTAAGGTAACAGAAGGTTGAATGTCAAATGTAGGGTCTGAAGTCCCCAGCAATTAACTTGAAGGCTATGAAATTTGACCTTTTCAGTTTTTCAACACAAATTTCTCAAATAGTTATATAAAAAGGTAATGAATATGTGTAGAACCTTTACACAGAAAGGAATATGTATCCAGAATATCGATTAGTAGTCTCGAACTTGAGAAACTTTGGATAATATCGTCTGTGACCCAGATAGTTTCAATTTGGTGACATTTGATCTTGAAAATGTTACATTTCCAGACCTCATTAGATCTTTCGTTAATGGCAATATTTCTATGCGTACTTGTAAGATTTAACTAACCCAACTGACAAACTCAAACACTCACATTTGGCGCCAGGGGTTACTACACCTTGACACCTGTGATTATTGTTCATCATAACATTTGCCTCTGACTAATGCTGTTAATAATAGTATATTAACCAGAAAAACAGTAACTCCAAGGGATATCGAATCGCCCCGAACAAAACTTATATTTCAATAAATAGCGTCCTTTTTGAAAATTTCTGGATCAAATCTGTCCACGGATATTTGAGTCATCAAATATGTTTTCCGAAAAATGGCGGAAATTTTTTAATCCAGCTGCAATCTAGAACTAGAAAAGGGGGCTTTTTAAAAAAATAGCCAATTATGAGAAAACAAAAGGCCATGGCATTTATTGTAAAACCAAATCTAATCATAAAAACACTGGTGATCCACTCGATTACGCTGGTTACCGAAACGTCGAAGGTACAATTTTTCTTTTTTTCCTTATTTCACACGTTGTTGGCAGAATTCCCACGACTCAAACGCGTATCAGTATCATATGTTAAGACGATGTATATATATTTGCGAACAAATAGTTCAGAAGACAACAGAATCGTCGATTTAATTCCTTACTTAAGTTACATAAACGGTATATCGAAATACAGTATGCCGTTTATGTAACTTAAGTGAGGAATTAAATCGACGATTATGTTGTCTTCTGGGCTATTCTTTCGCAAACACATACATTTTCTAAAACATATGATACTGACACACGTTTGTTAGAAAAAATGTCGTGGTGATTCTGCCTACAACGCGTGAAATAAGGAAAAAAGAAAAATCGTACATTTTGCGTAATCGAGCGGATCACCAGTGAACAGAGAAGGGGCAAGGCAACAGTCTAGTATATTTATGACAGATTAGACTGTTTAAGGTATCCACCTGGTTCTTTCATTCAGTATGTGAGTCATAACTAAAATCACTGTAAAAGTATTACTTCAAATATTACCCTAAAACCAGTAGTTTACATTTACAGTTGAACACCCCAAATGACCGTTAACCTAAGTAATTCGAATACCACCTGTGGCATAATTATGGCATCATGGCATCTTGGAGATTAAGGTCAAGGATTGAATTCCATAACCTGGCTATAATACAGATCGCATCATGAATTTTGATGAATTACATTGCTCCCCCAGGATCATGCCATGTACGGGGTGGTCAAAAAACGGAAACCCTGCATTTTCCTCATAGCTTTGTCATTTTAAGGACTGCTCCCTAATATTTCACACATTTGTAAATCATTCTATTTCCTACTACCCTACTATATTTCATGACCATCAGACTGATAGTCACAATTCTACAGCACTTTGAACAACAGGCTTCATGTTTGGCATTATTGCGCTGTAGGCAAACCTGCACAGTTGTCAATGATCCAAATGGATTCCTCAGCAGATATGGCCTGAATGATACAGATAATCTCACTTTTGAGGTCTGCAATTGTCCTGAGGTTATTCTTATACACTCTGTCTCTGCCATATTCCCATAGGTAGGGACATTTTAGACGACATGTGCAGGTTGGTCTACAGCGCAATAGTGGCCATCGGGAATGTTCTTTAAAGTGCTGTAACACGGTGACTGTCAATCATTTGGTCATGAAATGTGGTAGGCTGGTAGGAAATTGAGTGATGTACAAATGTGCAAAGTTATTTCTTAAAATGACAAAGATATTAGGAAAATGGTGTTAGGGTTTCCAGTTTTTTACCACCCTGTACATAAAGAATATGACGTCTTATTTATCTGGATTTGTGAAAAAGACTTTCTGATTATATGATTTGTTTTCTTAATAAGTTTTTATTATTTGATGTTAGCAGCATTACGATTACAATAGATATATAGTGCAATTATACAAGATTCGCCATAATAGTGATTTAATCAGTTGCAGATTATTTCTGCCAAGAGCATCATCCGAAATACATCATAATTTTGGTTTGATAAGTTTCTACATTTTATGTAGATTCTTTGTCCTGTTATACAATTAAACAGGAACCTCCTAGAAAATTCAGTCAGAATTTTTGATTATTCGTCAGTAAATTATTCAGGTGGTCTTACTTTTTAATATTTTCATTGTTTGACACGATCGGATTAACTATAAAATAATGAAGTTACAGTTTATTACATGGTTTCCAAAAGTGATGATTTGTTTTTATGCAAATAACATGGGATCAGAAATTATATAGCTGGTTTGAATTTTGGTACATTTGGGTTCATATCGTTAATAATTTAAAACTGATACGTAAACGTTTTGGAATTGATATTTTAATTCCGATTAATTAAGTTGGGAAACACCATGGGAATTCCTCCCTCTGATCACATGTCTAATGACGTAGAGTCCCCTCGTGTGTTAGCCATTCAGTTAGCCTTTGTTGTCGAGGCAGCATGTTATAATATTTATACAGATTTTGAACTATGTCAGTTTGTCAAAAATTTGAACTATGTCAGTTTGTCAAAAAATTTCAAAGTTTTGGATAAACAGTTTAACTCTCATTGACGGAGTAATTCAATGAAAACGATTAATTCTGGACCTACGTCGATGAAAATACATAGTTAAGTATAAGACGAAAAATGGATGTTATTATTTGAACTATGTTGATTTGACACATTCTGGATTAACAATATAATTCAATATGAGATACTGTAACAAATGCGGGAGAAAACACCCTCCGCCAACGGGAAAAAAGTGCAAATTGACACTCCCAGCGACTACAGACGATGAAGATGTAGGTGTTATATCGGTGCACGAAAATGAGCAGCCAGCTGCAGGCGTTAATGCGAGAAACCCTGACGTCGATGACGACTCTCAAACCTCTTTGACTAAGCAAGACGTTCAGGAGTTATTTGGACAATTGGCGGACGAATTTTGCCAAAAGTTGAAGAAACATCACGATGTTTCCAGCGTTCCATCCAGGCCAGATACCAGAGACACGGCAGCGCACGGGGCAGAGACTGTTACAAGTACACCCCGATCCGATATTGAACATCCAGTGCGATCCAGCGGATCCGACGTCGCTCAGACGGAACAAGCATCGAACTCCGATCATGGACTTGCCGACATTAATCTCAACGCTTTACGAAGGGACTCCAAGCTCGTAAAAACGATCGACAGAAGGCTTCAAGATTTATTACAATCTGACACAGATGACAGTGAGGACGACGAAGCCAACGATGAAAAAGGACTCAAGAAATTTCGAGGTAAGCGGTCTAAAAGATCAGGCAGGATGCGAACAATAAATGACATAGCCAAGATACCAGTAGATTGGCCTCATTTTTATGTATACAGAGGTGCAGATTGCAAATCCGCCACCTATGATACGTTGACTGTACCCGAATTTTCCTTCGGTTACATGGAAATAGTGAATAACACTGAAAATGGAGATATAAAGTTGCGGATGTTGGAACATTTTCAACAGGTTATGCTCCACACTATGCATTACCAATGGGATGATGTGCGCCATTGCCACGGTGTGATACTGGGAAAGATTGAACAAGGAATCCTAACATGGTCGAGTGATTTTGGTCGATACTTTGACAGTTTCGCTAAAGTTTCAAGAATAGACCAAGATAACAAATTGTCTAAAAGAACCGCCACAGCAAAACCTGCACTTGGCAAAACCAAATCTTCTGATAAAATTTACATCTGTCACGCCTATAATAATGGCTCGTGTGATCAGGCTTCTGATCACAATAAAGGGAATTTATTTCTTCGCCATGCGTGCAGGTTTTGCTTTGGCAGTTCTGGTCATGTAAATTTGCATCGGCACGCTGAGTCGGAATGTAAATCAAAACAGTCAAAATTGAGTCAATCAAATTACAATTGACTGACCGCAGCATCCAGTGAAAACGATTCACATTCCGATAATGTTGTTGATTCAAAGTTACACACAGCTGATTCTTATTTGCTTCTCAATGCTTCAGAAATTGAATACTGTCACGGCAATTCAGCCTCTCAAGACAACTGGCTTGATCTTTATTTACAAGTGGCTTCATATAACCAGCCTAATTATATCGGTGCTAAATGCCCCGTGCCCTCTACTTTAAACATCTCATTTTGGCGCCGGGAATTGGTTAATTATTCTGATATTCATTTACCGGATTTTTTAGAATTCGGTTGGCCGATTAGTTATTCCAGAGAGAGTTGGCCACATGGCTGTTACAAAAATCATATCAGCGCGGAACTCTATTTTGACCATGTTCAGAGATATATAGACAAAGAAATATCTTATCAAGCGCTCATAGGACCTTTACAGACAGACCCTTTTAGCAGCGTAGGCCCTGGCATTGTTATTTCACCCTTGCAGACTGTTCCAAAGAAAGACTCTGACGACCGCAGGGTAGTTCTTGACCTTAGTTGGCCCCGGGGTGTTTCAGTTAATGATGGAATTATAAAAGGGGAGTTTTTGGGTGAACCTTTCCACTTAACATATCCCAGGGTTGATGATTTAGTAACGTTGGTTTTGAAACATGGTCCTGGTTGTTTGTTATATAAGCAAGACTTGAAACGGGCGTATAGGCAGATTTGTGTTGACCCTCTAGATTTTCCATTATTAGCGTTTCAGTGGAATGGCTCGCTTTATATTGACAGAAGAGTTCCTTTTGGTCTTAGGACCGGCAGTTTAATGTGTCAAAGAATGACGGATGCCATCGTCTATTTACATCAAAAAGCGGGTTTCCAGGCTGTTAATTATATTGACGATATTGCTGGTGTTGACTCTGTCCAAGAGGCTAGTCGTGCATTTCAGTCCCTTTCAAAGTTGTTGTCTGATCTGGGTTTAGAGGATTCCAAAGAAAAGCGAGTTTTACCGTCAACGATTATGACATTCTTGGGGGTCGAGTTCGACACCGTGAAAATGCAATTATCAATTCCGCGTTCTAAGATTAATGATGTTTATCAGATGATCAGTAGCTGGCGGTCTAAAAAAGTTGCCTCCTTGAAAGAGTTACAGGTTCTCTTGGGAAAGTTGCATTTTATATCGCAATGCGTTCGACCCGCTAGGTTATTTGTTGGTCGTATGCTAGAGGCGTTGAGAGTGGCGTACGGCACAGGTACTGTGTTTCTCGATGAGGAGTTTCAAAAAGATCTTAGGTGGTTTTTCAATTTTCTGCCCGATTACAATGGTATTCATATGTTATCTGAAAATTCATCAAGTGATTATGAATTATACGTAGACGCATGTCTGACCGGTTGTGGTGCAATCATGCAAGGGAGATTTTATCATGCGATCTTTCCATCGTTCATTCTAAAGGAAGATTTGACTATTGTGCATTTGGAAATGCTCAATGTTTATGTTGCTTTACGGAATTGGTCACATTTGTTCAAAAACAAGAGGGTGTTGGTACATTGTGATAATGAAGCATGCGTCTACATTTTGCGATCAGGAAAATCTCGGGACTCATTTTTAATGAGGTGCGTCAGGGGAATTTGGCTCATGTGTGCTGATCTCAATTTTCAGTTAGATTGTACTCATATAAGTTCTGCTGATAATTATCTGGCTGACACTTTGTCTAGGTGGCCAAGAAGAGATACATCGTTTGACTTATTTTCGCAAAGGTGTGAGGACTTTGGCTTTTTAGAGTGTGTTGAAGATTATGTGTCTGATGAAATGTTTCTAGTTCCGACTTGGATTTAATTTTGCTTATGTTTCAGGTCTGAAAGCTGACCTCAGACGTAAAGTTCGCCGTAGACAAATTTCGGCCTTTGCGGACGGAACCAGGGCAAATCATAAGTCTCAATTCAAATCTTATTTGATGTTCTGTGAAGTGACTAATTTGACTCCTCTGCCGGCAACAGTTGACTCATTATGTATGTACGCCGAGTTTTTGACGAGGACTTTACAATGCCCAGACTCAATAGCTAATTATCTAGCAGGGGTTCATACTTTACATAAACTTTTATGCTTGGATAGTTCAGCATTCCAAGCCTTTCGTTTGCAACTTACAATTAAAGGGATTAGAAAGCAATCGTCGCATTTCCACTTACAAAAAGCACCAATTACAATCCCGATTTTACGGGCTATCATTCACACATTATCGAACAATCGCGACCCTTTGCACACGGTTCTCAAGTGTCTCTTTCTCATTGCCTTTTTCTCGTTCTTACGTAAGTCCAACCTTTTACCGCCTGGGAACCCCGTTCTCCAGCATGAGTTACAACATTTACGGCGCAAAGATGTCTTGCGCACTTCTAATGGCCTTTGTTTAGTTGTCAAAAGATCAAAGACTATACAATGTAATGATCGGCAGCTAATTATTCCAATTTCAGTAATGCAAGATTCTGAATTATGCCCCGTAAAATCCTTTGATGACATGATCTCTATTGTCCCTGCCGGGCCCACTCATCCTCTATTTGCATTACCTAGCAAAACGAGCTCTGTTCGCAGCTTAACGCAACCACGTGCTCTTGCAGCTCTCAGGCTCATTATACGGGGTCTAGGTCTTAATCCGCAATCTTACACTTTGCATTCGTTTCGACGCGGAGGTTGTACCAGCGCCTTTATGGCTTCTGTTCCAGTTGAACTAATTAGACTACACGGCGACTGGCGTTCTCAGTCGTATTTAAAATACTTTTGCCCATCTGTTTCACACAGATTTCTAGTAACACAACGAATGTCAGTTTTGCTTGATAAGTGATTTATAGTACACTATTGTTCCATGGTTTGGCGATTCGTATAGTCTACACCTAGTGGCTAAACGTTTGACTCGCTACTTTCAATAATGCAACTTTTTTGGCGGTTGTTTTTTAATTACGTAACTACATATACACTTATTATATAATCTTTAGGTAGTTAGTCAATTAGTCATGGTATAATCATTTATTTCAATTAGTATTTAGAAATATATTATGTAACATTATGTAATATCGCCAAACAAAACTCATTCTTGTTTGTTATTTGTTTATCAACGTAATTGTTTTGGAATTGATATTTTAATTCCGATTAATTAAGTTGGGAAACACCATGGGAATTCCTCCCTCTGATCACATGTCTAATGACGTAGAGTCCCCTCGTGTGTTAGCCATTCAGTTAGCCTTTGTTGTCGAGGCAGCATGTTATAATATTTATACAGATTTTGAACTATGTCAGTTTGTCAAAAAATTTCCCAACCCTCCCACCCTGTTCTTATATTACTTATCCTTGCCTATTTTTGCTAGTTATAATCTTTGTTCGTTTTTCGAATGGTGTACTGGGGGGGGGGGGTAAATGCAACTATAAAGTGTTACGATATTTATTGACCCTTGATTTTACGCACACTTATAACCTTATTAGCCTTCCGTTGCTAAGTGGTACTTCAAGTCATGACATCTTGTTTGTTTTCTTCATTTGTCACGATGATTACTCTAAATCATCATAGTTTACGTACAGTATGATTAAGATTCGAATTGAATTTATTTTCTGTTTCGATTGTTACTGTATGTTGTATGTATTCTTGTCAGCTAATAAGCATAGAGCCATTAACGCTCTTAAGCATTCATGTTGTCGTGCATGTTGTAAAACATTTTATTTGTAATTTTGTACTTGTAATTTATGTGTTCATATTTTTTAATAGCGTGTAAACCAATGCGCATGTAGCACATTTTTATGAATGTCTTTTAGCCTTGCCGAATGCCAATGTAGGAAGCATTTTACTACACGGTATTCTACTGGTTGAGTCACTGTTCTTGATTGTCTTTATTGTTACAGTTTAGTCATACAAATGAATCCGCATCGGTATTTGTATTGTAACTCTATGTAATTCATATGCTTGCAGTTACACACTGTTCATTTATAGTTTTTGATTGCATTTATATCTGTTATTATGTATGTATAAGGTGTCACGTAACGTGACGTTTTTGTAAATGTATTTGTACCTGTTTCACAGTTTTTACTTGATTCACAGTTTTTTACGTACACTTGCACTTTTACATCACAGTTCATGTCTGCCTTAGCGCTTTTGAACATTGTATGTACAGTTTTTATTGTACTCTCATTTATTTGAGCTATGCTCATTCTGTTCTTGACTGCCTCTGGAGCACTGTTCATAGTGGAACAAGTGCGCGGTTGTTTTTTAATTACGTAACTACATATACACTTATTATATAATCTTTAGGTAGTTAGTCAATTAGTCATGGTATAATCATTTATTTCAATTAGTATTTAGAAATATATTATGTAACATTATGTAATATCGCCAAACAAAACTCATTCTTGTTTGTTATTTGTTTATCAACGTAATTATTCTAAAAATCATCTACACCGAGAACGCTATATATAGCGTTCTAAACAAAAAATATGTATTTTTCAACTAACATATCTAACCAATTATATGAAGACAATCCAAATCATTGGAATTTTTTTAACTTAGTCAATTTTGCAATGTTATTTATAAACAAACAACAGTCATTCTGATACTCGTCACGTTTTCAACAAGAAATACCATAATATTTATAGAAAGGAGCTTAATATGCCATGATTTCTTACGATGTACAACAAGAAGATAAGGTGATCTTCCACAGCTGAGAAGCTGAGCTGCATACAAGCCGCGTGTCACTCTTGAGTAAAACACAACTAAACGTTGATTTTGCTCTTACACGTTTCTGCGTAGTGTGAGTTGTCAAAAATTCTTCTATTGTAACATCAGGCAAGTTTTGATTAATTGCTTGATTCACCCAGGCAAGAAGTAATTACACTGGTTAAGTGTATTCAAATATTGCATGCTAATCTAGCGCGGAATTCAATTATAGAGATACCCGATTGAATAGATCATCGTATTGCTTTATTACGCGATGAAAATATTTTGTTTTGAACGACAAACTGCCGATTTATGACCGATTTTTTTTATCTAA